TATTATTGTAACATTCCAATATTATGTTGTGTATACTTCTTGGTTTCAGTTTTACAAACTGTTATTTTTATGCTGAAATTTCTCAGGAGCAAGCTCGTTTTTGCTTACACTAGGCAAGACAATATTTTCATCTGGCGTCAACCATTACTGAAATTACCTCAGCCTTGTTTAGGCAAATTGGTTGTGATATTATTGCCTTGGTGATGATGGCTTGTGTTGAATATGATTTCGAAGCCAAATGCACTACGATTCATTTTTTTTATAATACGTTATAAATATATGTAATATAAAATCTATACACATTTATTTAAACAGGTGTCTTTCTTATAATTTGTATATTTAGATGTAATAATAAATCAGATTTTAAAATATATTTGCAATAGAATTCATTCAATTAGATTTAAAAACACCAATTAGTCCTACAGGAAATGTTCATTTGTAAGTGATAAAAATTTCAAAATTTATATTAAATTAACTGCAATTGTAAACAGTGCCGCCGGCCTTAGACATTCGGCGCCCACGGGCAATGACGTCATATCATCCCTCCAAAAAAAATAAACATTTATTTCTTAGGATATGTTAAATAATTTAATATTTCATTCAACATGTCTCTAATACAGTTGCTTTATTGATAGGATAATATTAATTGTTTTAATCGGTTTTGTATTTTTTTTTAATTTATAACATGTGGACAGCGCCTCCGGCCAAAATCGGTCTTTGCAAGACCAAGACCGAGACCGCCTAACTGTTGCAAGACCAAAACCAAGAATATGGGAAGAAAATTTTTAAATAAAAATTAAGGCAAAATAATTACTAATACTTGACAATTTTAGTTACTGTTTGTAAAGAATTGGTATAAACAATATACTTTTGCATTTAACTCTCCTAATTTTTCATTCGGGCTTAGTTAGGTTTCTTCCATCTAAAAAAAATACAGTAATATCTGTATAGTAATAAGCTGATAGGTAAGACTGTAAGACTGTTGCGAGACTCTTGCGCAAGATCAAGACTAAGACCAAGACTAACTAGGCATGACCAAGATTCGTCTTGGTCTCGCATTTGGGCAACACTACTGAAGATCGGCAGCGCCTTGCAATTGCAATAGTCAATTGCAATTGCAAATTCAAGTGCAATAGGTTGCCCCGCCCTAAGGCCGGTACTGATTGTAGATACCCTTATTTATAATTTATCAAGAGATAAGTCTATAAATATTCTGGAATAAAAAGTGTTCAGCTTAATGTTTTTCCTTAAAGAAGTTTAAGTTTTTTCTCGTGTTTCCTTCCGGAAAAGAGCGAAAGTTAAGCGATGGTCAAAGTTGAAGGACAGTGAGAGCTTACAGAAATAACAGTTAATTTCTAAATTTTTAAAAAACATTTTTCAGTATAATTGTTTAATTGTATGCGTCTTAAGGTATGTACAAAACTAGGAATTAATATATTTTGCACGTTTTCGCCTCCGTGTCAAGAATTTGTTTATTTGTTATTACAATAACCTGTTCCTGCAAGAGGTTAATCGGAGCAGTTACTTGCCGTTCATTATTAAGAGATATTTCTTGTGAGGTTTTTTTCTATTGGTTGATCAAGCTTTGATATTAAATTTTATTCATAAACTTGCTGCATCCAATCCGAAGTTGACTATATTAATAAAATCAAGTAATGAAGGGAAGGGTGGCTGGGATGATCAGTCATAATAAAAATGGCAAAAATAAATCATTATATTTATTTTGACATTTGCCTATAATATTTATTTATTTATTGCCTAATAATATTTATTTTTGCCATTTTTATTATGACTGATCACCCCAACCACCATTCTCTTCATTATTCACTACAGTCAACCACCAACCCACAATTATAAAATCAAGTAACTTTTGGAATATTCCTCGAATATTTTCTAAAAATCCAAATAGTCAGCCTTGATGTAGTTGAGAAAGAAAATTTCTTTCTGTTTTTGTTTGTAAAGCATAAGGCATTTTGTAGGGGAGGAAAATAATCGAAATACCATGACTTTATGAGAAAATGTTTTGTTGGAATTTTTTTTTTTTTCTCTGCTACTTATCCGAAACATCCTGTGTACTAAATAGATGGGTTTCACCTATTTAAAAATTATCGGAACCCCAATTTTATCACCAGAGAATATTATTAAATACCAACACGAATGAAATGATTGACATTAATTTTTTTTGGGGGGGAATAACATTAAATCACGTTATCAGGATGTGATATGACGTATTAAACATGGGTTATATATAGTAGTTCGTTCCTCTTTCGGATGGATAGGATATTGCGAAATAATTAATTGAACAAGTCAATCCAGTCGTAAAAGGTATGTGTCAGAATCACTGATTTATTGGAGCAACGATTTAAACCTTTAAATCATAAATACACTTCTTTAATTTATTTTTTTTTTAGAATCTTTGAAAAAGCAGTTAAAAGTTAAATCCGACAAACCTGGTCATTAAATTTTGTCTAAGTTATAATAAAATAATATAAGATAATCAATCTATAATAATTTTACTGTAAATAAATATAATATATCTATACTTAAATACCTTGTGAAAGAAAACAGTACTGAACGAAAATAAAATATTGTATAGTGAGTTTAATATATTTTATTGATAAACCTTAATTATATTTAATGTATTATTAATAACTGTTGTATAGCAAACATGTTAATTTGTATTTCATAAACCTTAGTTTTGATTTATAAGTAATTTGAGTATTTCGCAATGAAAGGAAATTGGTTGTTCTTAGGTTTGCCTATCTGTTCCTCTCGACTTGCTAGTTCATCATTTAAATTTTTTTTTCCATTTGACAACCCTCTGCATGGAATGCACTTTGCAACAATAGAAAGGGTATTTCATAAAATAATTTACAACAATTATATATATATATATATATATTATTTAAAAGTTTAGTAATCAACCAATTAAGAACACCGGCTGGAGATTGCTCAATAATGGCCGGATTCCGTTTTGACTAAAAATATGTACGGGAATTCTGAGAAATTTATTTTTTTGATCAAAATTAAAAAGATTATTTTTTGATTTATTACCTGGACTGTCAACTTTATTATTCCAGGAACAACCCCCCTTTTTTAAGGTAGTTAATTAGAGATATTTAAAAAATGTGTACCAATATATTTTACGTTTGTACACATTTTTTTGTTTTTTTATTATGAATGAATCACTGTAATTCGACCGAAAAAAATAAAATAAAATTCCTTTATCTCATAATACATTACATTGACATATTTATATATGTCGTCATTTCTTCACTGACCAATATACTATACAAAAAAGTGGAGGAATCGGCTAGCTACTGTCTCCAAACGCTTTTGCGCGGTATTTGTTAATCTGGCTCTAGAAATAATTAATATTCAATTATTTAGGTTACAAAAAATTGAAAATAAGTAGAATTATGAAGTTATAAATAAAACGCTGCAAATTATTTCACAATGTTTTATTATTTCAAAAACATTATACATCTAAAGTAACATTACCTTCCTAGTAAGATAAAAAAATAAAATAAAAGATGATTCCTATTATTGGCCTAAATATATATTTTTTTCATTATTAGTAATTTGCAAAAAATGAAAAAAAAAAAAAAATTGTACTGCTTCAGTAACACTTAAAAAATCAAAAACAAAGGACATAACCTTTGCACTAGAGCATGTAAAAAACATCTAGACACCATATATTTGCTCCAAATCGCACAAATTTCAAATAAAAATATACCATACCAACAAACAAGTGTATACTTTTTGAGTTATTCGAAAATATAATTTTACCGCCACTCGTAACTTTTTTTACAGCTTCTTTTCGTTGTAGTATGTTATATAGATAAATTTAAAGGGTATCGAGGAGAAGACTTTAGCCAAGTTTCATTAAACTCGATACATTCGTTTAGGCGCTACAGTCAACAGCAACACGGGTTTTTCGGGTATCATGTTGAAAGGTAAAGACGGATAGTAATGTTAAAGAAGGAGGATCATCTTTGGGTGACCTCTGACTTTAAATCCAAATTTAAAAAAAAAAAATCGGTCCAGTAGTCTCGGAGAAAATGAAAATTGAAGAAAACAAGAATTTTGAACTCAATAGACGATTTTTAAAAAGCTGAAAATTATTCTCTACACAGAGAGATACAATATGTTTTATATTCAATTAAATTAATCAGTTTTTACACAATTGCGTAGACCTTAAAAATAACCGAATTCTCGTTAATTATCTGAAAGCGCAAGACTGTCATGGCGTCTTGGTATAAATCAGTTAACTCATCTCTGTTACTTAATGCAAATAAACATGGTTGGTTCTTATACTTAATATAATTAAAATAATCGAAAAATATATAAATGCAAGGAAGCTATGGATACGTCCGATAATTATAATTGAATTTCTAAAAACTAGTGGATATTGGGAAATTTCTATAAGTTCCCTTATAATAATTTCTTGAAAAGAACTTATTTTTTTAACTCAAATACTCGGCGGACGGACAAAAAATTTATTCGATGCATTTATAAAACTAACCGCAAGCGGATCTACGGGGGGGCTGAGGGGAAGCCCCCCAAAATGGTTTACAGAAAATAATATTAAAAACTATCTCTTAAAGTATTCTTGTTCGTGTAATTATATTTAATAGAATTTCAAGAACCACTTAAACACCATGTCATATAGCTAATTAATTTCTTTCTTTTTTATTTCAAATTAATTATCGTTATATGTATATGAAAACAGAATCTTTCGGGCTGAAGCACCTCCCCAAAATTAAATCCTGGATCCGCTAGTGAAACTAACCTAAACTTTTGAGCGGAGAGGCTCACTTTTTGAATTTTTCAGACGATTATTGAAAATAATAAACCAAAATTGCAACAGTGGATTATAAAAACATTGTTTCGGTCTCCATTAGTACTTGCTGACCTAATTGCGAACCCCAATGCTAAAGAGGTTCTTCCCCTATGTATTATACGAATTATTCGCACTTGTGTCCCCGGAACGTAAATAAAAATGTAAATAACCCCCTGAGAGGTTAGGAGAACCTGTGGGGACCTTCAGTTCCAAGTCCCCCTCTTTCCGTCCCAGTTAAACTCCTACGAAGTAGGTCAATACTTCATAACCCTGGATAAACCTGTTGTCTGCAACGCGATACTGACCGAGTAAACTTCTTATGATAGAGATAGATCGCATTCCGTAGGGTTAGCTTTCCCAACTTTCACTATTTGCGAGATCGCGAAAACGGGATGTTTTCCTCGTTGGGCTATTCCTCCCGTAAATGGGGACGGTTTTCTCCTCCCCTCCCTCCCTAGTCCTAACAGTTTCCCTTTCATCCCGTGACGTCGGAGTTGCCCTTTCGAAGGGATCGACCTGAGGCTGGGATCAATATGGTGTAGGGCAAGCGGGCTCATCTTGCCTGTGTCATTGGCCCCTGCGCGCGCAGCCAGCGCCAACCCCAGCTTCGTTGACCCATTCGCATCTGGCAGCTCTCAGGTAACTGTACCCCTCATACCTTACATTCATTACATCTATAATTAGGTCATTAAGCTACATATAAAAATAACTGCTTTAATATCAAGAGTGTCATCAATTAGTCATCAAAAGTGCTACGGATATGATTAAGTGTCGTAAATATTGAAAGTAACTATTATTAAAAATAAAATTAAAATTCTTTGAATTAAAAAAAAAAAAGTGAGTAGATAAAAAGAAATAAGTGATACTCTAAAACAAGTGTTTCCGATATAACATATATCTATTATCAGTGGGGGCTTATTCAGAGAACTTGATCGGTGATAACCAGCTGATAAGAGATACACACGCCTCGTTCACTTTCACTTGTCACAACACAGCGGTATGTAGTGAAATTTATTTATTTACTTTTTTATTTAAATACTATATCTTAACGTGATTAACCTAATTAAATGTATTAACTATTTTTATTTAAAACTTTTGAATTGGTTGTGTTTAGTTGCGAATTAAAACAAAATAGTGTTCCTTTAAACGCAATATATTCTTATCCAACATACATATGTAAAGTACGACCATATTCCATAACAAGAAAAGTTTACATTATTGTTATACACCGATTCAATACTGCAACATAATCGGTATCAATAAAATAAAATAAAAAATAATACTGTTTTTATTATAGTAAAATATATAGTATTTATAAAAAAAAAAATATTGACAGTATTCACCTGTGGCATTCAATTTTTAAACTCAATGAAAACGCTTGAATATTATTTTAATAAATTTCTATCCTTAAGATTTTAATTTTTAATTTAAACATTACTAATATTATACTGTTTTCTGTAATTTCCTCATGGATTAGTAATTTATTTTTTTGGATAACCGTGATGGAAATTAGTCAGAAATTTTTACATGTTAATTTCATAAATGTGTTTAATTTTGAATAAATAATTAATTTTTCAATGAGCAATTATTTAATAAAACAAAGTGTAATTTTTCTTAACTTTTTTTTTTTTTATTTTATAAATGAAAAGAAATCAAATTATCATTTTCAATGCTGGTGATAATAATGTTGTTTTTCAATAAGGCTCCAAGGCCGTCGAAATTTCAGAACATGCCTGAATATTTTAGCATTTTTTATTTTATCACGCAAATAATATTAATAAACATTTACTTAACTGCCCTCATAAAACATACAATGATCTTGAGAACAAACATTGTTATCTAACGTATTCATTGAAATAATTTACATCTTCAAATTCATGGCAGAGTTATAAAACGTTTTTTACGGAAATTTTCTTCCTAAAATTCGTATTTTTGTATTAGTTTAAAAAAAAAAAATTATCTGGTTTTTATTAAATTTGTCATTTTATGACTTAGTTTATAGCGCTTGTAACACGTTTATAGCGCGGATGATAGATTAAATTCGCGAGCGTTTGTGGGAGTCTCGCTGCAGCGAGGGCATTGCCACCGTGGCCTCGTCTTCGAGAAAGTGACTTATAAGGGACTTTAAAACCAGGCCGAACCGCTTTATGAGAAGTATCCTTTCGAATTTTTAGAAATTTACCCCATTTATATATTTATAAAAAAAAAATCTGAAAAAGAGTTAAAACATATGTTAGCTACACGTCAAATAACTGACGTGTTATTATAATAAAAACTCTAAGCTATAATAATACGACCGCCTAATTTATCATTATTAAAAATTAATTAATTAATTAATAATGAATAAATTTTATTGAAAATTTTTTGTTAAAAATTTCACATCGTCCGATGCGGAGTTCAGTCGCCTCGGCCATCTTTGACGCATGCTTCTCTTGTACCACGTGATCGTCAGATCGAAAGTGAAAGCGTTGAAGTTGTCAGAACTGCGCGAAAAAAAAAAAAATAGAAAATTAACGAGAAACTCTACAAAGAGTTATATTTTTAGACCTCACCCCTGCTTATTGAAGCATCTATTTCCTACCTTCCTACCCTTTGAGGTTCAATGGACTGTTTCGTAACGCATGCAGTCTGTGAAAAAGTTTTTTATTTTTTTATTTTTCCCCTGCGTCGCCGATGAGGCAAGAGGCTAATGCGATCTGGGCAAGTCCTACTGTATGGTATTGTTTGATTTATTTTTTGTTTCGAAACGAAACGAAGCAGTAGGTGAAAAAAAAAAAGAAATATATATGGCAGGAGTTCTTATTATGTGTAAAAATTCAACATAATTATCGTGAAACGATCAAAAATAATATTAAATATTTAAAAATAAATTCATATATATTAGTTTAGAAGTTGTAACAATTTTTTTATGTGTATGTGTCTATACTTGAAAATATCTTAAAAAAAAAAAATTATTCATTAAAATTTGTATCCTCTGTACTTGGAAGAAAGGGAGACAATCATCATAACATAAGTACATTTCTTTATATTTTTTCCAAAATTATTGTAGATAATAACAAAATACTTGGAAGTGGAGGTAAAATACTAGAAAATATTTCCATACTATCATCCCTGATTATAAATGAAAATTTAAATAATAGGAATATTTTGGTCGTGATAAAATAGTTATGTACCTACCTACAATAACTATTGAGCCGTTTATTCCCAAATGGAATCCAAGTCATTTGACAAATTTTCACTAAAAAAAATATATATTATCTATTCTAATTGTAATATCAAAACCAACAATTTAAAGAAAATAAATTTGGAAATTCTTTATTCGTAGCATATATTTCCGAAAATTATTCGATTAATTTATTAGTAAATAAAAAAAATAAACATTGCAATTTAAACAGGACCGGTTTTGGAACTAATTAAATTTCAAGTCTCAATTTTAGAACAAAAAAAAAAGGTTGATTTAGGATTCATATTGGAGAAAAAAATTATGATTCATGGGGAAGAGAGGAATCTTATTAAAATTGTACTATGAAAATTCAACTTCTTGTTTATAATAATGATACAATAAAATAAATATATTTTTAATTTTCATTCGGATGAAAAAATTAAAAATACTATTGGTGAACCTTTTTTTTTTAATACTCTAGAAATGCAAGTATCATTACAATCCTTGAAAAAAAAATATGCGTTTTGGAAACAAACTTATTTTCACAAGACTTTTTCTAATATTTAGGTTCGGTTTTGAGAGACCAATGGATTCATTGAGGTTATTTACATAGGAATCGATACTTATCCTGTTTTGAAAAAAAAAAATGATATGGGTTGGTTCTGAAAAAAAGCGATTCAATTATTCTCGTTTACTTTTACCGATTTACAGATAATTAGGTAGTAAACATTTGGTTTGGTGAAAAAGTTTGTTGAATAACGTTTTGATGAAATGTGATAAATTAAACAGAATTAAATTAAGGATAATTTCCCGAAGTAATTAGGTTATGCACTGACATGTTTCAATGCTATGGATAATTTGGAGAATAAAACTTAAGTAATACATTCATTATATTTAATCAATATATGATTTAGTTTGTAAAAAAAAAAAACCTTTAATCCCACAAGCTTTTATTTCACAATGTTTCGGCTCAAAAAGCCATATTCAAAAACAATTACTAACTTTGAATAGTATTCTATAAAGATATATATTTTCTAAAATATTTAAGAATATCGTTTTTATGACTAACGTTTTGTTTTGAAAAAAAAAATCTTAAAAATGATTTTTTAGACCCGAAAAGATAAATAATAATTCTAGTATATAAAAAAATTGGGAAATAAAAGGTTGAGAGATTGAAAGGGATTTTTGAACAAATTTAATCATGTATTGATTGAATATAAAAATCATACAAAAAATTAATAACCTAAATAATAAGGTAGTTTATCTCAAGTAATACAGTTTTTGCTTTGATGTTGTAAAAATGTTTAATTTAAATATATTTCATAGGAAACTATGACATGAAATCACTGAAACGGTACAAACACAAATGGATAAAGCACATACTCCTAACATGACAAAATCCAACTTCATAACATTACAAATCTTGATAAACAAGCAGCAACATACTCCCCACACCAATTATTGAATAATAATTTATAAGATACAAAACATGCAACCGTGTGATTACTTTTATCTTGCTTATACAATTTAATGACAGTATATAGTTTTTATGTTATTTATTTATTTTTATAACTTATATATGTTTTATTGTATTTTTCCTACTGTTTACTTTTTTTATATTTGCTACACTCATGCTAGAAGCGTATAAATATTTTTTTGTTGTTTTATTAAATTCATATAATAAATTGAATTTTAAAAAATATTGATTAAGTCATTTCACTAAGCTCAAATGAAAATAAAACTGTCACTATTATTAAATAGTATTGCTAATTACTTAACTTTTCCGTTCCTTTTCTCAATGAAATAATTAATTGTTAATTATAATAATTGAGTAGTAAAATTAAAAATAAATACGAGGTGAGAACTGCAAGCGATTGTATTTCAACCTCGTCGGGCAGCCGTCCCAGCTGGCACAGATCAGCATCAATCGAGTAATAACCTTGATATTACTTCCTGCAACTATTATTAATATATATATTATTAAAAAATATCTTGTTTCTAAATAATAATAACACAAAATTGTATCAAGTTTCATGTTCCTATTGATAAACCCAGGAGTCCCCCCCCTCCCAAGGCCGATGGCGCATAAACCTTCTCCCACCCCTCCTAAGATATGTTATTCCTCTCCTCTTCTTAAAAACTGTGCAAAAGAAAGTAGAATTTGAATATTCGTAGATTATATATCATTACACATCCTGTGGTCTGTTCCATGGTCAAAATGTTCCTCCTCACAGATTGGAAATCCCGTCAACAAAAAGTGACCCCCTCCTTAATTTTAAAGGCGCAACTTCGCCATAAAACCCCCTTCTGGGTACCCCTGGTGAAAAATAATAAAGTTGGTAACTTAATTAATTTTAAACTTAGTTAATTTTTTCCTGATTTAGGATATGAAAT